TCCCACTCCCTCCGGTCCGTGGGAGAGAAGCACCTGCACTGGCAGCAACATGAGGATGAGCGGGCCACCATATCTGAGTGGCAAAAATACGCAGGAGCGCTAGATTGCAGCATACCTTTAGCTGCATCTCGTGGTCCTCCGGGTTTTTTTGTTTTGTTTTTTCCCGGCTCCAGTTGCAGTTGCTGAAAGGGCAGCAGCGCTAGAGCTCCCAGGAAGCCCATCATCCCCGATCGAACTTTGCTGAACCTCCAGGATGCTGCTACATTATTCCCAGGTTCCGTGCTTTCCCCTCCCAATTTTGGATCAAGTTGTGTACTTTGGAACACTGTCGAGAGGGTTCTTGAGTTGATCTTAGTAATATTAGCCATTAAAAATTAGTCACTAATGAGAGTCTTTTCTTGAGTTTTGATTCTTGGTCATGATTAAGAGTGAAGAAAGGTTGGGAAGAAAGTGGCCCTTAATCTTTGGGGGTTTGTTTTGCAATTTCCACAATCTACTGACTTTGGGCTAGGGCTGAGGAGAGTTGAAGTTCAAAACTGCCATCATCAATCTTTACTTCGGTTATATATAAAATTCCATTCCAGAAGTAAGACTGTAAGATAAAGAATAACAGATTAGTAACAAAATTATATGGACTACTAATACAAAATTATAAAAGTAACACTAAGTAAAATTGTACATACTATTGTAAAATTGTACATACTATTAATATTAAAACTATAAAAACTATAGTATGGCAATATAATGTAGGTGATAAAACAAGATAGCCTAAAATAAATGCAATAAATTAAAGTAATAAAACAAGTAAAACAAAATAAAAAATAGAGTCTACAAATAAAATAATCTAGACTATTAGGTCTAATAAACTAAAATTTTCTATTACTAACATTATGCTGCATATTTGTTTTATTTAGCTTGGTCCAAGATCAAAGGTTAGAAGAGTCACCAAAGATCTAGAAAGCAGTGAGTTGCCTATCCCTGCTTTTCGATAAATGTAGATATTCAGATTTCAACAGCCATGTTGACAGACAAAATTTGGTGGGCTTGTAGGAGGCCATGAGGGATTGGACAATATTAAAAATTTAACATATAATAGCTTTATTTCATAATAGTCCAGCTATAAATGTGACTTAAGGGGGCTATGTTCACTGAGGAAAATGGATATCCTCTTAATTTTATATCTTGAATAAATATTAATGGCATCATTGTTTTTCTTTTAAAAGATATATCATGTTGGAAATCAAGGACACCTCCCAGCTTTTTTTTTTCTAGTTAATTTTATTTTAAAAACCCTCCCTCATACTATAAGAAACTATGTAAGTGTTAAAAAACATTGAGAGATTGTATGCAGTTGATTCATCTTTATTGACATAACTTTTAAAATCCCTTTTACTCCTAATCTTATTTCTTTTTCTTAACCATTCCTGGATTTCTCAATTATTTTAATTTACCCCTGCTTCTGAAGGATCTCAAGGCTTTGTCTAAAAGTATTTGCATTGTTACATACACATATTTGTGGTAAAATAATTTAAGGTTACTTTATTTCCTAAATGACTTATGTATTTAAAATCTTTCAATTTTTATCCTGTCATATTATTTATAAGAAGGTTAAAATTATTCAGTCATTTCCTATTCACTTCTATTCTTCATTATTCAGTATACAAATTATAATCACTTATTAAGGAAAGGAGTTTAACTTACCACATTTTAAAAGTTGGGCATACATCTTAACTTGGATATAAATTAAAATAAAGGATTTCAGAATTCAGTTTCCCTCTGAGTTTAACCTGAGAATCATTACTAAATCCACTAAAATTTTGATAATTAAATTATTTATTATTCACAAATTATTACAATTTATTACATATTCAGTCCTGCTAGATATATATAGAAGATTCTGGATTTGATCCTTTTACACAGAAGGAATCCTATTTCAATAGTAGCTCTTAAATCCTTTTGGGGAGAAGTAAAATAAGCCTCCCATGCTTTTGACCTAATTAATCTCTCCCCAAAGGATACACTTCAGACACTTGCTGTACTTACTATACACTTTATAAGAAACTGAAAGAAGAATTAGCGGCTTTAGTCTCCCATCATAGTGTCTCTGTAGCTGGAGTTAATTTAAGGCATTAAAACTAGTAGTTATAGATAGCCTGATAGTGCTCCATGAATTTGTCTAGTCCCCCTTGAAAATGACATACCTCTGTTGCATCCCTTCCTACCTGCCTCTTTTCTAAAGTAAAAAGCCACAAGAGCTGTAATTTTTCTTTATATGGGAGCTGTTCTTATTTTGTTTGCCCTTTTCTGCACCTTTTCCAGCTCCACAATAATTACTGAGGGACCAAGATCACAAATGAACTGTATTCCAAATGCTGTTATGCCACATATTTATATAAATACCAAATATTTTTTTAAAAAATAGTGCTTCATTACAGCCAAAGGCCAGCAGCTTTTTATTTGTAAATCCCTGTTTTTTAGGTGCTGCTACAGGACTTTCCATTTCAGCATCAGAAGCCGAGAGGGTTAATGCTCAAACCTGTTCACGTGACATAATAATGGAAAGGATTAGCTTGTTTAGGGATAAAATTAACCCCTCTACCCACAACATTGACTAGGTAAGAAAGTGAAAGCTGTTCAAAAGCTATGTTGCCAAACAGGAAGAAAAAGACACAATCAGAAACCCTAAGGGAAGTAATACTTTAATGCTTTCTCTTTGGGATTTAAAGTCATAACTGAAACCGTATTTCCATCGGATACCACTGTATCCTTAAAAAATGTTTAGTGTCACAAAATTTGTGTTGATTTAAGTTACACACACTTCACCTGAAAATTGCACAAAGGACTCCAGCAGATCAGAGATAGTTTCTTTGATTGTACAGAACTTGAGTGGCAGATCAGGGATACAGCTGGAAATGGGTGCCCAATTGTTGTTGCAGGAATTCAGAGAACTGCATAGAAGCCCAGGCAGGACATTGGTGGACTGGAGCACACGGGGCTCACCCCTGCTTTAAAACACTTTTTTCCTATGTGCACAGTTATAAAATGTCCAAATCTAAACACAAAGTGTGCAGGTCTTTAGGAGGGAAAACTAGTCCCCGTTCTTTAACTTTTTGATACACCAGGGGGCAGCAAATTTCATTTGCTTAAGCAAGATTTCATCTTGCACCAATATTTCATTTATTTTACATCATAGACAGTACATTTGTTTTTCATTTGCAGTACATTTTGCACAAGCAAATCTTTACCATCAAAACCTTTGCCTTAGTGAAATAATACATTCTATGATGAGAAATGTAGTTTATAACTGCAATTGCAGTCTAGATTTTAGGCACAGGAATGCCACTGGTCCTTTATGAAAACAGTTAATGATGAACAAAGAAACTCCATGTTTAGGGATTCTGCCAAGCTTCTGATAATGGATTAATCAAAACTTATCAATGAATTGAACTGCGCTCACAAGATGCTTGCTGGAGAAAAAAGGAAGAAAATAATTTTTCTGTCTATTGTTCTTTCCCTCTGCAGCCCCCAGACCCCATCTATCATGCTGTTTCAGAGTGTTCTGCCTCTGGGGCAGCATTGTAAGGGGCTATAGGGAAAAGAGAAAATGGTGAAAATTATCACTTACCTGTTCTTCCCCCACTGCCTCTAGACCCCTTTGGGTATGAATGAAGCCTGTCAGTTCTGAAAGATTTCTGAATCCAGCCTTTGAACAGCCATACATTTCACAAAGGTGGCTCTGGGCAGTGTACAGAAATTAAATCCAAAATAAAATTAATATGCAAAAACAGTATGTATAACATATGCCTGGAATAAAAAAAACATTCCCCTTCAAATCACTAAAACAATACAATTAGACAATGGGGCTTACTTAACCTCCTGGCCCAAATGCCTGTGGAGGCATCCAAGTTTTTAAAAGTTTTTTAAAATCATACCAAGGCATGTTTGTTTGTTTGCCTGATTGAATTGGTAAAATTTTATTTCCTGCCCTACATCACTGTGCCAAGAAAATATCACATATGGAGTGTCTGTCTAAGGTACTTTTACAGGTTACAGTTCACAAGACAGTAGTAAAGTTGAAAGATCCCTTCCCTTCCCTGTTGGAAGGTCCAACAGGATCAGGGCCATTTGGATTTCTGGGACAATACTGGTCCCCAGGGCAGAGACAGCGACAGAAAAGGTATATAATATCACAGAAAGCTGCTAATTCGAGCATTTCACTTTCATCAGCATCCTAATTTAAGGGTCTTTCCTAGCTACATCTATGCTCCAGGTCCCTTCCCTTAAACATTGGCATCTTGTGTGTCCTTGGAAGTATGTCTTTTCCGTTGCAGCCCCTGCCCTATGGAACACCCTCCCCCCCGAGATCCAATAGGCCCCCATCCTTTTATCTTTCTGAAGAGCACTCAAGAGCTGGCTCTTCCCACAAGCGCTGGGATAGGGCGAAGTCAGAGTGAGATGAG